TGATGGTAAGTGGTTACCGTAGCCTATAATACACGAGTGTTTTGAGATACGAGTCGCTGAGCAAGCGACATTTTGCTTTGAGATGAGAACAAGATTTGAGATACGAGCAATTATGAACACACTCCACCGCTGCATACGACCCCAATATGCGGGGTGGTAGTGAGTCCCACGTCAGACTAACACATAACAAAAACAATTGAGGTGGTTTTATGGGAATACGAATTAATGGCATTTAAATTAATTTTAATGGGAAAAATTGCTTTGAGATACGAGCAATTTGACATACGAGCAAGGTTTAAACTTGTATGTCGAGGTACTACTGCATTTCAACAAAAACAGCCAACTTCTTCCAAATGAGCGCTAATTGCATTAATCTTGTATTTGATGACTTGAATTATAAACCGTAATTTATTTCTATTCATTACAAGTACATTATCTATACTAGTTTGAGTAATAAACCTCTAAACATATATGTAAACTTTCACATTTACAATCTTGGTAAAATTTCGTATAATATGTCTATACTTTGGCTTAAGGCGTAACATGGAAAGCTGCCTCTATTTAGAAAATTCTACCAGACTGCTACGACCAAAATTTATTTTATTCTTAAGTATTTATGCAAATCAACGTATACGTATACATATCACTGTCAAATCAGACCTCAAAAACAGAGGGTCTACCAAAATCAAATTCTAAATTTTCTGACTCAATTCGATGTTTTCACTCATACCAAAATAGGTCCTGTAAATGGAGCTAAACATTTTGTTCATCATAAATACTACCATAAAAATCCAAAGGAACAATATTTTAACAATTTTAATCAAACAATATGTATTCTGTAATTTTAACATCAAATTTGTGTTTCGTTCGGCCCTGAAATTTCGAAAAACATGTCATGGTAGACCCTCAATGTCTACCAGTGTTCTCTATAGAATGCCAGACCCATATCACTGTTTTTTTTTACGAAATGAAAATGTAATGGTAACCCGCCTGCGCTATCGGTATACGCTGGCAGGGCACCATTGAGTGATGCTACATGTGAATGAAGTCAAGTCAGTTGGCTCATCGTACTTAATACACTAGGAATTAACGACGATGGTTTCCAGGAGCAAGGAAGTCGACAGGTTATATTGCTAATAATTAGATCTAAATTCCTGTTACTAACAATCCCTTCCTCCCCTATATCACTGTAGATTGACTACAAGAGATATTTTATAGAAATAAATTCTTGTTCACATTGAAGTCTGAGATGTCATATTTATAGATCACAGCATGGTATCGTAAGCTTTTAGCGTCACGATATAATAAGAAACCAAAGTATATTATTGCTTTTAATTTTCCGCAATAATATCACGGACATGCACGGCAATTTAAAAACGTATCCATAGAATTGCATACACTTTACTTTTCTATTATATCGTGACGATATAATCCTACGATATAGTACCGTGTTACGGTAAACTGTTAAAGCGCTCTATAATTTAATGCTGCTTTTTAGAGTCCAATATTATAAAATTGTAATGTCAACAACTTCAGAAGTCACTGAACACTCTTGAACTCAATAAAGTTAAAAGTTTAACCGCGATCATAATATTTAATACTATAATAACATGTTACATTACTGTATTTCCTTGAACGGACTTTATAGCTATTATAAAAGAACCAAATATGTCTATAGTATCTACAAACCTACAAAACGCTTAAGAAACCTTACCCTTGCACGGTGAACCTCGTTCGGCATTGTGATAACTTAATTACCAATCAATTACTGATAAGGAAAACAATCCTAGGTCAAATAACAGTACACTGATAAGTTGCTTTGGCTTAGATAAAACTATGACTACACTGGCTAGTCCATTGCTTCACTTGCACACAGAAAAATCCACTAGAACATTATTACAACGCGAAGGACTCCTAACCCGCTCGATAGGGGTTCAAGTGCATTGCGTTCGTGCGTCTGCGCCGGTCGCATACCGCTGGCGAAATGTCACTGTCGTGCGTGCGCGAGTTTCCTACTTTACAACAAAAAAGTCTTCATTCAATTTGAAAATGGAATTCCGTGTCCGTATTCCGTGTTGTTCCTCATTCCGTGGAGGCTGAATGAATGAAAAGTCAACGGAGCGTGCCTAGTAACCGATAGTATGTTTTTGTTTACAATAGCAACGAATTTGGGTTGCAATCATTATTCGCGTTACATACTACCTAAAGACTGTTCCCGTATTATATTGTTTCAAAGATATAAGTGGATATAAGTATTTACCAGAGGGAGACTTTGATACTGCTCCTGTCTATAAGCGATGGTTATCACTCTCCATGAGATGGACCGTCAGCTTGGTTGCCATTCTAAGTTGTATAAAAAAAAAATAGCAACACCTAAATTCACCTAATTTACCTAAACTCCATTATTTGTCACGATTATTACTCATCGTGAGGATATTATTAATACAGACTCTAAAAATCATAGGTATAGTTACAGTAACTAACTACAAAAATTACATTATATTACGAAAAACGGACTTCAATCATGGACACACACACACACACTGACGTATCAGTATGTGCCTGTACACATACCTATGTATAACGAAACCTTTCGTAGACATATTAACTGAAAAATTTAAATCTAGAACGCGGAATCGTATCTTTACATCGCAAAGAAAAATGGCAGATAAATCATCCTGAAACTAATACGAGAACAACAAGAGAGTAAACCTTACAATTTATTTTTTATGAAATTTAGAATAACAAACAAGCTGACGGGCCACCTGATAAATAGTGTCGCCTATAGATATGAACAGTGCCATGGACATAACAGAGCATACTGTTTCGTCCATGATACCCCCCATACGTTGCCATTCCTGAGGACTAAGGAATTAAACTACATTTGTGAAGGTGGGCCGACTGATCTGTTATTATCCCTCACTGGGTGCTCCACCATCATTCATCGATGACTTGTTTTGATTTTTTATTGTTATGATGTCATATTTTTTATGTATATGGTCGACACAGTATATTATCATTACAAATTTCATAAAAATCTTATGATCTTGAATGAATACATGTATAATAATAAGTTCTATAACAATAACTTTTATTTTGATAAATACGACCAACCGTGTATAAATAAACAATAATAATTATATGAATATATACATTTTTTTACAGAGCAAGATGGGAAGAAAACTTCAAATGTATAAAAAACTAAATATAACATGGGAAGCATTAAAATAACACTTGAAAATTTTGTTTTAAAGAATGGCAAAACATTACGTACAACAAGTAGGTATGTTATTCATGGAACAATGTCGCGTCGCGATATATTGTTATTAGTTTTGATTAAGTATTTATACAGTTGCCTCAAATGCCAAAAACATGTATTGAAATTTAAATATGCAATGTCTGCGTGTTATGTACATTTCGAAATATTTATTTATATACAAAAACATTTAAGAAAACTATTTTTCATTTTATGTTTAAAATGTCTAGCTGATTATATATTCCGCAAACAGTTTGTGATAGCGGAAAATTGTGCAATATTTGCTGTCATTTTACAATTGTGACTTAAAAGCGATTAGCGAGGTAATGATGGTGCTGTCTCTTTAGAGCGATTTAAGAACTAAAATTATAATTGTTAATTGGTCTTATTTATTGCCACTTAATCGCTATCGGCACTGTTTGTCACAGAAAATGCTTCAGACCTATTTAGCAATTAGAAGGCAATCCTGCTATATGATACTATTTTTGTGCAGTATTTATTTGCAATCTTTTCTAGACATTTAGCATTTTTTTAATGGGTGAAAATGGATTGGTAACCCCGCCCGCGCTATTGATATTCACCGACGAGGCACCAGTGGAAGATGGTGAGAATGAATGCAAGTTAGTTGGCTCAGCATGATGAATTTGACAAGAAATAAACATGATGGTTTCCAGAGGGAACCGCGTGGAGGTCAACCTGAGAGGGTATATTGCCAGTAATGGGGCTATTAGACCCCATTACTAACAACCCCTTTCCCCCCTGAGACATTTGGCATTAGGAGGCAACACCTTCACACGAGTAGTAGTGATGATCCTGATATAACATTAATCAAAGTAGAGATGTAAAAAGTCACGATGATTTAATTACATATACTTAATCAACATTTTCTTTACGACTTGAAGATTCATTCACGCATACCATAGACTACAGTCAGTACTACAAATTATCCCAAATGAACGCATCTTCACCAAAATCTTACGTACACGTATTAAACTAGAAAAGTATCTCTACGCTAATTGAGTAACAAAATAGAAATATTCTCAACTTATTTTGTATATTAAGTATAACGTTTAAACATTACTAATTTCCAACGGAACAAATAACAGCACCACCTTTTACTTTGTAAAGCAAAATAATGATTCACTTTTAGTTCACTATATTCAAGTATGCCGACCGTTTGCTTGTTTACAATCTCTTTTACATACTTCTTGTGAAAATACCACTGCATACCGTCGATATACACTTAGATGATGTAATAATATAGAACTAGTATAATATAGTTCATTTCTTACTGTACTGTCGATAATAATAGTGGCCAACAAAAGCCGACATCATTCATGAAATCAGTATGTGAATCCATACTGATTTCATGACAGGGGAGAAAGCCCATTTATGTCAATTGCAAAAAAAGCAAGTATTTATTTAGAATCTACAAATCGCTTTATCTTAGATAAGCGCGTTAAATTAGAAACTACTTCCCTTTAAAGTTAAATAACCAAAAAGATGGTTTGGGCCCAAATTTATGGACATTGATGCGACTCTAGATGCCCTTAGAAACTATCCCTTCTAAATAACAACTACTACTGTGTGAGTGTATATGATGTACTCTGAGAACGTGTTACATCCACGACAAGTGAATATCTGGTGCCATGTCACTTTCTAGTTATTATCCATATTGATTTATTACTAGCAATTATTATTATTCAATGCAATTAATAGAAGTTAAAATTAAACCAAGTCTTACCTTGTCGCTGTCTGTTGGTAACGTCCCGTAGCCGTACCAGCTTCTAGCCGCTCTGAGTCTTGGCTCCTCCTTAGGCGATAAGAGACCACTGCCCCATCTTACAAGACCCTCCGCTACAGCAGCAACACTAGGTGTACTTGGGCTGCCATTAGGAGAACTAGGGGAGACCAGCCCTTTTTCGGCTACAGGGGGCAATGTAGGTCGGGCGCAACCCGTTCGCCTCTCATATATCCTCTTACATGGCTCATCTGAATCAGTCTCCAATAACCCCTTCTTGTCGCTTCCTCTTTTCACCTCTGATCCGCCAACTCTCTTAACATCCTGATTAGCGGGTCTTTTAGGATCAGAATCTCTCCTCTTTGCACTTTCATTAGATTCTTGCCGACATAATAAAGCCTTCTTCAAACTCTCACTCGAATCATTCTTTGTAATTTGGCCTTTCTTCTCAGCCTCTTTAATCTTGTTATCATCTTTGGAAAGAAGTGCTCGTTTTAAGCTATCAGTGGAGTCTTGCTTATGGATTAGTTTACGAGGACATTCTGTATTGAGGGAATCTGTCGTTTTAGATATAAGAAGTTTCGGGTAGTCGTATGGGACGTGGTCATTTGGAGGGTTTAATTCGAGGGAGCGTCTGTTCTTCCTCTTATCCGCCGGTGCTATTTGGGCTTTAACCGGAAGTAAACGACGCGGCAATAGGCTGCGGTGGTCAGCGAGAGGCGATTCTGGTCGAAACATGGTGGGCAGCGACGCTACACTGCCGCTGACTCCAACTCGCCTGCAACAAAACACGAGAACTTATAATCTAATTTTATGTAAGTGTTATGGTTTTATTGAAATAAATTTTTATTCATTCATTTTTTTTTTATTCAGAACTATTACACTTCATGTTAACAATGATGAATTAATTTTAAAGTCGTGAAGATTATTTGAGTCAATTAATTCTAGCTACAGTTCAAAAGGTCAATGGGAAAATTGTTCACGATGGCTTTATAATACATAGTTCAAGATAGACACTAATGTTTTACCAGTTATTATTCTGTCAGAATGAAAAGCTGGACGTAGAAGTGCAGTACGACTGTAATTACTTTAATGGCTATTTACACATCTCGTTAGTTTACGGAACGGAACAATCAGGTATATTTCCATTACATCTTGTGATTGTTTCTATTAGAATCACGTAACACAGATATGCCACGGCACGATATAATATCAATAATTTAATATTTATACATATTCTAGAACTGAGAGTATCGTGAGAAATGTACAAACAGAGATATCGTCTATACGTCACTATGTATACTTTTATAATCAGGGTTATCGAAGAGTGAAATGTCGAGATAGGAAAATGACATTCGGGATCACGGAATTAGAGGTCCGTATCATTAGTGATGATTATAACAAAGTAACCGTCCGTGTGGTCCCGGCATAGAATAGGCCAGCCATTCCCTTCCTATGGGTGTCATAAGAGACGACTAAGGGAGGGCGAGTAATGATCAGCATCGTCCCTCTTAAAACATCTTTAAAGCCTAACTGCCAATCCAAGCGTGGCAACTACTGGCAAAACCCTCCCAAGGGAGAGGGTTTTGTTCAGCAGTGGACGGTTAAAGGCTGGTAAGTAGATGATAATAACAAAGTAAAATATATAACAAATCTCTGCTAGGTACAAAATATGAGTACACCTATTAGTTTATATGTATTAGCTGTTAGCTAGAGAATTACAGGCTTTCATTTCGTATTTTCCTTCTCTTGCACTAGTATACTATTGTCTTTGTTGGTGTGAGGGTTTAATATACTGCTTCACCTTCCGATAGTAGTTAATTCGTTCCCTGCATAATACAAATTCATAAGTACGAGTATGTGAGTTTGTTTCGATTTGAGTGGAATCTAATATAAAAATATGTATCATCATTTCAACCGTTAATCGTCCACCGCTGAACATAGGATTCCCCCTAAAAGGGAGTTTTGCCAATAGTTGCCACGCTTAGCAGGCGGGTTGGCTTTGAGTACAGTAAGTATCTTAAGAGAAACACTGAAAGCTTTGTATGTACAAATTCCACCTATGCGAAGCCGTAGTATATATATATATATATATATATATATATATATATATATATATATATATATATATATATAGAAAACACAATTTATATATATATATATATATGTATATATATATATATATATATATATATAACAAATATAGAAAACACAATTTTAATTATATATTAGATTTCTATTATAAGGATAACTGTTTATAGATATCTATATATATATATATATATATATATATATATATATATATATATATATATATATATATATATATATATATATATATATATATATATATATATATAAAATTGAAAAACTATTTCTTGGTAACGTGATGTTAAAAGAATCCCTTCTGCCAGACTACATTCAATTGTACGTCCTCTGTGATGGCTTCACAAACGCACTAGTAATCATTGTGGTATATAATTATACAAATCAACAGACAGATGGTACAGTAGTTTCTATAATGAACTTCCGCAAAGAAACAACTGATATGAATAATAGCGCGCCACTTAGGTAATCAGCGTCTGAGAACATTCCTCACGATTAGTATTGTTACATTATTCGAGTTTTGTTCCTTGAAAGAGGATACGTTTATTAACACTTCTCTATGTATCTCTCTATATATTATAAACTAGACATGGGTAATATGGATTTATTTTTTTACAACACAGGGGGCAAACGAGCATGCAGTTCACCTGGTGGTAAGTGACTACCGCCGCCCATGATCACCCACCACACTAACTGCGTACAGATAGTACAGGCGGGGTTACCAATCCATTTTCATCCATAAAAATCATGTTCAATAAAAATAAAGAACCTGAATCTATTTGTCATAACTTGTTTCGTGTGTACAAGCCATTTGTCGACCCTTGACTCATCCCTCAGACAATATACGGTTTATCTGATTATGATAGGTTATTTAGGCCTTCCCAGAAGCTGCATCCTTCCAATATCATATTCTGTGCCTATTTCGTCATTCTTTCATCCTTATCTGTATATTAATACGTGAAGCAAAAACTTGGTACTCCTTTTTACGAAACCTGCGTGCACGGAGTATAAAATTTGACACACTTATAGTTTGTATAGAGAAGGAGTGCAGAATACTAATATTTTTTTTAATTATGCATAAAAATACATTAAGAGACTACCGACTAAACCGTCTTTCAAAAAAAGCGTTAACGCACACTTTTTATTTTTATCCGAGCAGTAAGTACTTTATATTATTCTCAATTCCGTGTATAATATAGTATATGTCATATATGTGTAAGTATATTTGTTATTTATATATATTTATTCGTTTATATTTGTAATTTTAGTACGTATGTATATCAATAATTAGTAGTACCGCATTCGAGTATTCTGACACTTCCCTATGGTTGACTGGGAGAGAATGCTTTTAGCATTAAGTCCGCCATGTACACATATTTGTAAATGAATAAATAAATAAATAAATAAATAAATACATGAAATCAATAAAAAAAAGTCGTTTAAAATTTTTAAGCTTGTAAAATAAACCTATGGCTCACTACACGTTTTGGGATACTGTAAGTGTAGTGAGTAATTTGTAAATAAATAAAATAAATAAATTACACACACTACCAATATGACGCACACACACATTGTATATACTCTTTTATTTACTGTTAAAGTCTGTAGTCGAATTGGGAATAGATCAATATTTATTTATCTTTAATATTATTTGTTTATAGTCTCACTTAATGTCAAACATAACCATAATAAATTCATTAAATACAAGACATATTATGATCGGATTTCGACCTTTGGGCGACCACTAGTTATCTACAAAGATTCCAACAGAAAAGACCACTTTTCGTGAATTGCTGTAGGAACAAAAATTGGAAACTACTTAAAGGTAAGCTAAGACTTTTTATTGATCACTATCCTTTGTCTGCTACTTCATACACGTGCATTTTGGAGGTAAATACCCATTTGTAGATGACGTATTAATATAAACCATACAGCAGATTTGAAATTAGACCTGGAATAAAACCTGACAAGAGCACATTCAGTTTAGGCCAGTAATTTTTACATGATGCCGGAAGAAACATACAGAGAGACAAAAATCCTAAAAAAAATGTTATTTTGGTTTTTATTAATCTTATTAAGATTTAGCTTCTATTAACCTTGTTAAGACCTCTGATATCGATTATTCATAAATATCTCCATATTTATAATATATATAAATACCTACAGACATGGTCTATTTACTATATTAGTAATATGTAAGATAATAATTTGAGGTAATTAATTTATGAATTTAATATTTATTATTTCATTATATTACATTTTTATTAATTTTACAACAATTACTTCAATATTCACAGAATATGATAAATCGACTATGACAATTCTTTTTACAATCTATAGGGTTTATTCCCATAAATTAATTGTGTCATAATCGAAATAAACTTACTTAACAGAGAATCAAAAATTTGTGTGTGACCTTCACAAGTACATAATCAATCTATTTACACATGAGTGTGTAGCCATGCCAACATTTTCATAGTATATTCATCAACCATGAGGTTATGAACTCAAGTGAAATAAATTACGAGAACAAAACTTGTTTTTGCACTTAATTTCCGTCGCTCGCTATAAAGTTCATTATCATCAACAGTCAACGCGGAATCAACAACAAATCTACATGGTCGACTTTATTTCATGAACTAATTGACCTTAGATAAATATGAAATCATAAAAACGCGTACAGTTAAATTTCTAAGGTCAAGTAAATGAAATAATTAATTATTATTACATACGCATAATCAACCTACTTACCACGAGAACATATCCGAAATCTCGAAGTTAAGAAAAACAAGAACTTTTTATTAAAATTAAGCGAGACGTCGTTGTAAAAACTAGTAGGATTTCGGTCGTTCGGATACTTGGTAGGGGTTATGACAAAATAGAACCCGATATCAATATTTATATTTCATCGTAGGCACGAAATACGGATCCGAAATTTCGGATTTAGATTTCATGGTAGATCCGTCTTTTCTTTACTTTTATTGGTTACCTATACAGGCAACCAATAGGTGAAAATCATTTTCAGGCCATCATATTTACTTTATTTCTATAATATTACTTTACAATCCTGTAGATAGTTTTCTTTCTCTATTTAGGTTATTATAGTCATGAGTATATTTATTCCTACTATATTTTATTTTTATCTAGAGGCCTAAAGTTTGTATAAATTTCGAGCCATTATTTATTTAACCTGTAACAAATCGTTTAACACTGATGTAATTTTGTGCTGGGCAAACGTAAACTGTCTGATTTATTCAACAATAATATATTTCAATGGTGTGAGTGCAAGTTGGTTTGAAAGAAATAATATCAAAAGTATCAGTGTACTCGAATAAATGACAAGTAGGTACATTATACTTCGCAAAAACAGCAGATTTGATCGAAAATTCTCATCGTTGTTTCTCTTTCACTGTGCGGACGTGTACGTGTGTGTACGCACGTGCGTGTGATTGTGATTGTGCTTGCGTGCGTGCGTGCGTGCGAGTGTGCAAGTATGTTCATATATATACATATATATATGTGTGTGTGTGCAGGTATGTGTGTTTATGAGTGTGCGTATATATATACGGAGTAAAATTTACTTGTCTCAGTATCTAAATTATAAGGGATGGTTACTACTTTCCAACAAATAAGGCATCGGCTCATTTCCTACTCTAAGTTGTATAATAATTG